TAAATTTACTAGCCTCTATTCTAGAAGGAAAATCAAGAACATGTTTTGATTTCTTTCTATAGAATTTCAGAAACATAAGAACAGTTCTTCTCAGTAATAAGTCACAGCTCCCTCTATTCCTAGAATTCAGACCTGTGGTAGATACACTAAGAGATACAGCGAAGATGATCAGATGAGCCATGCCCTCCAGGTGTTTACAGTCAAACAAGAGGGATGAGCAATGCAGGCAGATAGCATTAATACAATGTAGAGAGTGACAAATACCTTAAGAAGGGCTGAGATAAAGGGCCCTTGTGGGAGTTCTGAAGAAAAGACATACATCTGCCTAGTTGCAATGATTGAAAATATGAGGAGAGAGAAAGGCAGGAAGGCAGGAAGGCAGGAAGGCAGGAAGGAAGGAAGGAAGGAAGGCAGGAAGGAAGGAAGGAAGGAAGGAAGGAAGGAAGGAAGGAAGGAAGGAAGGACAGACTCCTGAGAAAATTGAGAATGAGTGGGAGTGGGGATAGAAAAGGGAGGACATTCAAGGACAGTGTGGGCAGGAAACCGGCTAATTCAAAGTAGGGAACATACGTAGGCTTTGGAGGAACTGGGATGACATCCAAATGTGCTGTGAGTTAATGCTCATGGGGTTCCCAGTCCTCCCCACCAGGGGTTAGCAGGGAGGGATTTGGCAAATGCCAGGCCATCGTCCTGTGGAGAGATAGGGTGGAATGGAGAATGGTGCTCCATCTGTAGGCTTGGGAGATTGTGTGATGTTAGTAATGAGCTTGCAGGGAGGAGGTCGAGATACACAGGGTAGGGCTCTCTCTCAAGTCTCTAGTATCTTGGTAAACAGGTTTTTCATTTATTTTTTGTTTCAAGAAAATAGAGGCAGCAGATTGAAGAGTGTGATTTTTTGGTTGCTTTTTACATATTGAAAATACTTGAATTGTGTATGTTCTGGAGATACAAGAAATAATACAACAAAGTCTGCTCTGAAATCCAATCAGGGAGATGGACAAGTTAACGAGTGTTTGTGACTCGGAGCAGCATGCTGCTGTAGGGTTGGAGAGAAGAGAATCACCATGCTCCAGAGTCAGTGAGGTTTCATGGAAGAAATGAGTGGCTTTGAGGTGAATAAAGCTACAGGGTGTTGGCTACAGAGAGGCTGGACAACAGGAAACTGTGGTGGAACCAACTGGTCCAGGTTCCTAACCATACTGAGGGATGCTGGCATCTGGAGAGCAAGAACACCAAAGGCGAATGGTAATATTTTTCCTGGGTTAGGGTTTGGTAAAGCTAATAGAAGGGCACAGTGACCCAAGGTTGTAGCCTTAGCAATTGAAATGGCTGCCTGTGGGGCCAGCATGGTAAGATAAGCCATCCAGAAGGCAAAACCAAAGAGAGGGTGAGAAACTGGGCTGGCAGTCCAGATGGTGGACTGGCCTCTTTCATGTCCTCGGGAGATCTTCTGGTGATTTCTAGGAGAGAGCTCAGCTTGAGCCTGGGGGTGATACAGGCTGTGGGGCAAACACTGTGAGCATGAAGGGTGATCTGATGGGGTGGCCTGATAGAAGTCTGTGTGCAAGTACAGCTACAGAGCCTCCTGTGAGGGAATTTATCCCAGGAAAATAGGATTCAGGATAGATGAGCTTGACCCAGAACTTCAGTGTGCAGGGGCCAGGGAGTCTGAGTTCAGCATGGAAGCATTACTGTCATCTGCTCCCAGCTCAGCCCCATGGATGCACGTCCATGTGACAAAGAGAAACTAGGAAGTGCTGAGAGGGTTTATAAAACACTAAGGCTGCTTGGGTACTTCTCCCACTGTGTGCGAAACAATGACATTTCACCCTGCACATCTCCCAGGCTACCTCGGAGCTTTGGCATCATGAGAACCCTAGCTCTCTGGTGACAGTGCTTGGCAGAGACCAGGACACCCAGTGGAGCAGAGGCATACCCAGTAGGAGAGGGTTTATTCATGAACACACGTACTGCACTACAGTGGGCCCAGAGGAACCTGGCAGGGGGAGCCTGACTGTGGGGGAGGGGAGGAGCCTGTATTCCTCAGTCAATGGCCAGGAAAGGCCAGTGGATTTTGCCTTCTTACTACCTTTGTAGAGGCAGAAGAAGTCAAGATTTTAGGCTCTGGAATTAGACTGGCTCTGCAGCTTATTAGTTCTCTGAACTTGACCAAGTTATTTAACTCTTTGAGCTTGCTTCCTGAGGTACACTTACCTCCTTGGATGGATGTGGTGAATGAGAAACTGCATGTATGCCTTTAACATGTGGCACAGAGTTAGATCAGATACTGGACTTCCTCTGCCTGAAGGGTTTCCCTCCACCCTCCTTGCTGACTCTTGCTCATCTTAAGTTTAAATGTCATTTTTTCAGAGGGGTCGTCTCTGAGCTCCTGTAGCAGACTCTGGATTGCCCGCCCAACATCCACTGCCACCTTCTCCTTTCTATTTGGGTATCAGCTCCTCAAAGAATGCAATCCTGAAAAGTTCAGGGACAAACCCTGAAGGGCCTAAACCAATTCTGGTAATCCTCCCTTCATGACCAGCATTTTAGGCATGGGCATGTGACTCAGTTTGGGCTAATGACAAGTGAGAAGAAATCTGCTGGAAGCTTCTGAGAAAGTTTTCCCACTCCAGAAAAGAGACTCTGCTACCAGCGGGCATTGTCAGGGTTGTCTGGCATAATGGGAGCTGCTTTAGCCATGCTGGGACTATGGGTGGGGCAGACTCAGTACAAAGCTGGTGTGATGGAGATGGCGGGGGAATAACGGAAACAGCCGGGCCTGCCCTGACATCACTGAGATGCTGAATTCACCAGCTTAAGCCTTCTGACCTTGGGACTTCTAGCCATATGAAACAATAAATGTCCTTATCATTTAGGACATTTTAAATTGGGTTAATTATTAATTATAGCCTCCCACATCTAAATTATAACCCCATACTTTTTGCCTTCATATCATATTTTCCTTCATAGCATTGCCACAGGCATAGTTACTTTTGTGTATGTTTGCTGACAAGGGAACCAATGAATTGTAGATTTTTAAATTGCCAAGATCATGGGTTGATTTTGTTCACCATCGAATTTCCAGATTTTAGTGTCAGGACTGAGGTATAGGAGCTACTCAAGCACATTTGCTGAAAGAATGGATAGAGGGTTAAAAAATGATCACTTTTCTCCTTTTCCTCACCCTCTTCCTTGTTCTCTAAGACTCAGTGTGGTATTGTTGACTGTGTACAGGATCCTGGGGAGGAACCTCAGCTGCCCCTAGACTCTGACTAGTCGGGTGACCCTGGGCAGCAGCCTGCACTATATTTGTGGCTTTCAAGCTTTTTCCTTGAGGAACCAAAAATGCGTATTACATGGTTGACCCAGTCCACACATATATCAACACTGAACTGAAATGAAAGATTTATAGACATATTTACTCTTACCATCATGATGTACTCTGATATTTTTATTCTATTCTATTCATTTAAAAAATGCAAGCTTTGATCCAGCACATCAATTTCTGGACCTATTAAATAGCAACTCACAGTTCACCCCAAAAATGGATTAAAGGAACTGTAAGGACTCTGAAAATCTCTGATTTTCTCCTTTTTTTGTTGTTAAACTGTTCATACAAATTCAGTCCATTGACTTAAAAGACCATTATTACCATGACTTAACAATGATTTAATTATTTTTCCTTTTCCTGTGGAATTCTTTCTGGAACCACCTTCTCTAGTTGAGGTATTTTGAAGTCCTGCATAAAGTGGAAAGACTGGTGTATGTTCATGAAAAAGTACTTCATAGTCTTGCTTATTTCATTTCCAGTTAGCATAAAAACAAACAGGGCTACATTATTCCTCATCTTAAATTTAATGGCCCCATTCAACATATGTGGGCCCCATTCCTATATGTTTATGTATGTACTAGTGTAGACCGGTGTTGCATGAGTCCCCTTGCGTGTGGTTTTAAGGCCAGGAGAGCTGGGCTCTAACATTCTCTAGAGGTAGGGTGAAGAAGAAACCCTCACTGTACGTCCCGGTCCTCAGTACAGAAACTGCCCTTGTCCTCGGCGGATTTACCAGTGGAATTCCTCTGGGGGCAGGAGGAGAGGGGGAAAAGCCACACGACGATCTCACAACTCCAGAACACAGCAAATAATGCGGTGGGGTATATATATATTTAGAAAACCATAATGCAAGCCTCAGGAAAAAACATGTAATCAAAAGGCGACGCGGAGAGCATTACCAGTTTGGGCGATCGAGGACGCTCCCTGCCACGACCTGCCGATCGCGAAGGTACAATCTCTGTCCCTTGAAACTCGGTTCAAACCACTGCCCCCGCATCGCCGGCACACTCCGTGGAAGTTACGGAGCCAGAGTCCGGGAAGGGCATGTCGCCCAGCGGCCCCGGGGTCGCATGTGTTCTCGAAGGACGCTGGTGTGAACGAGGAGAGCACGTCCAGGATACAGGCTCTGGTTTGCGCTCTGGGAAGCCAGGCGAGGTGGGGGAGAGCGCGCAGTGAAAACACATTGGAGGGGTGGGGGCACAGGGAGGGGAGGGAGAAGATGAGCATGTCCCTGGACTTTCCTCTCCCCTCGTCCCACACACTTGAAATAGAATAATAACAACATACAAAAAATGCTTACAACCACGATGTTATCTCCCTACTCAGGTTGCTTCACTCTGTAGGGCATGGGGTATAAAGTGCAGACTGCGGCTGTCGCCGCTAGCTTGTCTCGGGAGTAAAGGTCCGGCCTGCGAGGGTGCGCGCTGGCGCGGGTGACCCCACCTCTAGGGAAGCCGGCGGGCTGCCCTTCCCCGCGAGAGCCCCGGCTGACCCCCGCCCCCTTCTTTCCTCCTCTCCTCCCTCCTCTCCTCCCTCCCTCCTTGCGCGTCTCCTCCGCACCGGCCCCCGCGGAGGAGCCAGGCGGCAGCGCCCGAGCCACCGCAGCTCTTGCCCGCAGCGTGCTCGCCCGCGTCCCCGGCTCCCACGTAGCCCGCGCGGCGCGCCCTGCGCACGGCCAGGCTTCGCTGAGCGGACCTGCGGCTAGGGAGGGCGGCGTGGCAGAGGACGCGGAGACGCAGGGGCGGCGACGCCAAGGTGACAAGCTGCGCACCTGGAAAGTTACCCGGCTGTCTGGTGAGGTTCGCGGGTGGAGGGCTCGGGCGCCGGGAGGGCCAGGGTCGGGTGCGCGCGTGTGCCTGCTGGGCAGGCGGTGCGCGCGGGGCGCCTCTGTTTCACACCCAGCCAGTCTCGTGCATGTGCTCTTTGCGTGTGGACGTGTGCACGCGTTGCTTTCGCTTGGGGTGGCAGCCTTTCGTGAGCTCCTGGAGGCAGGGAAAGGCTACTCGATTTTAAGGAGCTCGGCTCGGGGCGGGAGGGGTGAGCTCAGCTCCAGCCGGGAGTCCTCGGGGCTCTCACGCCTTTAGCCCTGAGCAGCCTAGAGGTTGTTGCTCCAGGCTGGGGTTTTGGGCGGTGCAATCGCGGCGTGCGCTCCCGGCTTCGCTTCGCCGAGCTCTGGGTCGCTGGTAGGAGACAAGTACTCGTGCAAGGACTTTTATGAGTCCTTGTAAACTTGTGTGTGTGTCCTGTGGCACTCTCAGCACCTTGAGACAATTTCACATTTTTTTGCTCCGCGTTTCCTTGTGATGAAGAAACAAGAGCAAACAAAAAACCAGAAAATCTACCACTTTGGGGGTGAGAGGAAAATGGATTCAAGTTTGAGAAGAACTAGGATTCGAAGGCATAGCAGTTGAGGCCAGAGCTAAGAACAGAAAGAAACAACGCAGGCAGAATTAGCAGGTAGAAAAGTCTGAGAAACGCCTCGGTTTCCTGATCTTCATCCTGCTCCTGAAGTTCCCAGGGCCTTTTTTTAAAAATAAAGGATGAAAGCAACGTACACCTGCTCCTCCTCCCCCAATACACACAGTTCTTTGAAAATTACTGCCTTTTTTTTCTTTGCAAGTTTCTGTTTAACTCCTGGACAAGATCATTCCACATAACATAGAATTTGTTGCCACTACTTCTTGTTAGTTTTACATGGGAGGTTGTAAACTAATGTGGTGGAGAATTCTCTTTGGATAATGAGAAGCCATACTCTTCATTGGAACATTGTGTAACTGAGAATAAGTGACATGAAAACGTGGTACACAGAGATCTTTCTCTTCTATGTGAAATACTTAACTCCAGTCTTCTGAAATCCTTGCAAGTGAGGCTAATTCACGTCACAGTGAAGACATATCTTGCCTGGATGTTGCCCAAGTCTTTTGATCCCATATTGTCTTGCTTCCTCTAGACCGGTTTCCTCCCCTCTTCTCCTTTGATTTCATTTTCTCTGTCTTCACTGATTTATTATTCAGGGATTACAAATACTCTTCAATTTCCACTATTCTAAAAAGCCATTTCATGAACCATGATCCTACCTTGAAGTCCCTGCTCTCAGCATCAGCTCTTCCCATGGTCCTTTGTAATTGGGTTTCTATCCCAACTCTTGGTTAAATTCAATATGTTTTCCTTTGGTCTCATTTGCTTTGATATGTCTCTGGGATGTGTATTGCAGCCTGCTTGTCTCTTGAAAATCTTACATTTCTGGCCTCTTTAATACCTCTCCTAGAACTCTTGTTAGTACAGCTATTCCTTCTCCCTCTTTGTTATTTACTTCTCCTCCTCCTCCTTTTCTCCTCTAAGTAACATCCTCGGGTATTATCTAAATCTACATACATAACAACAGAGACATTTCTTTTTCCTCCCTTAGTGATATCCTCTGCTAATGGGTCTTCACTCTGAAGCGGTCTCTTGCCTTGACTTTTCCTCTTTGCTACTATCTGCTAGATGTTTCCACGTTGACAACCCTCAAACTCAACATACATAAATCCAGACACATTAGTGTCTCCATACGGTGTGCTTATTCCCCTGACTTTGGTCAGGTCTCAGTACTAGCCCACAAATGGTGCTTCATTCATTTTTGAATGAATAAATGAACATGTTACTAGTACTACCTTCCTCCAAAGCCTTCTAAGATCAAAACACTGGAATTATTTCTGACTCATTTCTTGGGTACACCCATTAAGTAGACACATTTAGAGATTTTACCCCACCATTCTCATTTTTTACGTCCTCTTTCACTACTACCAAAGCAATAACTTCTTACCATATATCTAGTTTTTCTTTCAGACCTCGTATAGACCTACACATTATTCCTCTCCTCATTCCCAATCTCTTGGACACTTTCATCTTCTTCAGCTTCAGCTTCTACCTATGTATCCATGATCACTAAATATTTTCAACTTCTTCCTTCTGATTTTCTAGTTCCTAATTTCTTAATGCCTACTGGACACCTGAACCTTAGAGATTCCATAGCTCCCTCAAACTGAGCATGTCCAAAATTAAACTCACTGTCTTACCTTTCACGTATGCTCCTCATTTTGGTAAATGACAACACTTCTTACTCAGTTGCCACAATGGAAACTTACAAATCTTTATTCTCTTTCTTCTTATTGCCACTCATATTCCATCCAATACAATTTCTTGACCTACACCTATAAAATTACATTTCTGTATATTTGCCTGTTTATCTGATAATCTAGCACCCAAAAAGAGCTGAATGAAATGCCACCAAATTTGGCAGTGAGAACATGGGTTACACAGCTTTTATAAGCTCACTGTGAACATTGTGCTGGGGGTGTAGGGGGGCACTTCAAAGAACTAGTCAACCTCTGGAATAGCTGAAACTGGTACAATAAGAATCTCATGTGACTGCCTGATGAGAAAATTGCTCTCCAAATTAACATGCTGTGGACAGGCTAACAAGCAGTGGATTCAAAACTCAGCCTCAAGTCTACAGTCACAAGGTCAGATGGACAGATGCTTTTAATTGTGGTACTGATACAGAATTGTGCTGTTTGTTACAAGGTCAGCTCCATGGGTTTGCTTTAGGGAGGAGAACGGGGATATATATATTCAAGGATGGTTAATCATTTTCTAAAAGAACTTTGGTGAAACAAAGTTAAAGATAACACCAAATGCATCAATTTCACATAGACTTAGAAGACTATCTATAAAAGCCTATATAATCTCTCCTCTCATTTCAGGCTAAACTGCCTGTATCATAAGAAGGAATCCATTCTGTTTTCATGATTAATTGGAAAGGAAATTGAAAGTTGTTGTTTTTCGTTAAATAGCCATAGCTCTTACTAAATCCCTTATGATAATGTTTTTCTCTTCTGGCTACATGGGAGCTGGTCCATTTTTTTCTTGAGTTCAAGAAGTTCAAGACATTACAATAGGGTTGGGACCATCTGGCATTAGTCCTGTCCTCATGGCTTCTTACTTGGATTGGTGCAGTTGTCTCTTACATTTTGTCCTTCACCCATCGTACAGTTCAGCCTGTTCCCTGAATACACTGTCAGCTAGTTTTCTTGCAGTCATTCTTTAGTACATGTTCTTTTTTTTTAATTAATAAACTTTATTTTTTAGAGCAGTTTTTGTTTACAGAAAAAACAGGTGAAAAGTTGAGGGTTACCATCTTTTTTCCCTCATCCCCTTTTCCCCTTTTCTTAACATTTTGCATCAGTGTGGCACATTTGTTAGAATTGACGAACCAGTATTGATATGTTATTATTAGCTGAAGTACTGAGTTTACAATAGAATTCATTCTTTGTGTTGTACCTTCTATGAGCTTAGGCAAATATATAAAGACATGTATCCACCATTACAGTTGTCATACAGAATAGCTTCACTGCCCTAAAATTCCTCTATTCTCCACCAATTAATTCCTCTGTCCTTCTCCCCAAGTCCCAGGCAACCACTTATCTTTTTACTGTCTCTATAGTTTTGCCTTTTCCAGAATGTCACATAGTTGGGATCATATAGTATGTAGCCTTTTCAAATGGGCTTCTTTCACTTAGCAATGTGCATTTAAAGTTCCTCCATATCTTTTTATGGTTTGATAGTCATTACTTTTCATCACTGAATAATAATATTTTATTGTCTGAATGTACCGCAGTTTATTTATCCATCCACCCAATGAAGGACATTTTGGTTGCTTCCAAGTTTTGGCAATTACAAATAAAGCTGCTGTACACTTCCATGAGCAGGTGTTGGTGTGGCTGTACATTATCATATCAGTTGGATAAATACCAAGGAACATGATTGCTAAATCCTAGGATTATTTAGCTTTGCAAGAAATCGCCGAACTGTCTTCCCAAGTGGCTGTATCATTTCTAATTCCCACTAGCAATGAATGCAAATTCTTGGTGCCGCATCCTCTCCAGTATTTGCTATTGTCAGTGTTTTGACCATTATCACAGGTATGTAGTGGTATCTCATTGTTGTTTTAATTTGAGGTTTTTCTATTAATAAATAATGCAAAGCATCTTTCCATATTCTTATTTGTCATGTGTCTAATCATCTGTGGTGAGGTGACTCTATACTTTTGCCCATTTTCAGCTGGGTTGTTTGTTTTCTTGTTGTTGAGTTTTAAGAGTTCTTAATATATTTTGGATACTAGTCCTTTATAAGATATGTGTTTTTTTTCAGATATGTGTTTTGCAAATACTGTCTTCCAGTCTGTAGCTTATTTCATTCTCTTAACAGTGTCTTTTGTAGAGCAGACATTTTTAATTTTAATGAAGTCCAGCTTATTAATTTTTCCCTTCATAGGTTGTACTTTTAGTGTTTTATCTAAAAAGTGTTCACCAAACCCAAGATCATTTAGATTTTCTCCTATATTGTCTACTAGCACAATCTGTATTTTAAATTTACATCTTTGATCCATTTTGAGCTAAATTTTGTGAAAGATGTAAGGGATCTGCCTAGATTTACTTATTTTATTGCATACAGATGTCCAGTTGTTCCAATACAATTAGTTAAAAAGATTATCTTTTCCTCATTGAATTGCCTTTGCTCTTTGTCAAAGGTCAGTTGACTATACTTGTGTGGGTCTATTTCTAAGTTCCCTATTCTGTACTACTGATCTATCTGTTCTTTCACTAATACCACACTGTCTTGATTATTGTAGCTTCCTAGAAAGTCTTAAAGTCTGGTAGTGTCACCACTCTGACTTTGTTCTCCTATAATATCGTGTTGGTTTAACACATTTTTTGATCCATAAGTTTTTCTACTAAGATAAGGTACTTTGTTGGGTAAATAATGTTAACAGTAATAATAATAGTAATATTTAATATTAAGTGAACACACACTGTATGTCAGATATGGTGCTAAGTTCTTATCATGGTTTATCTCTTTTAACCCTCTAACAACTTTAAGTGATATGCAACATGATTTTATCTATCTGCCTGTCCATCTATCTATGTATCTATCTATCTCTTCTATTTTTGACACACAAGCCCATTATCATGCCCAAAGGCATATAAAAATTAAGTGAAAGTACTTGGACTGGCACTCTAGCTCTGAAACCTCAGCCAGCACTATACCATCTCCCATATTTACAGATATACATCTATTCATATAATACTCCAGATGGGTAAAGAGAGAAATAGATATTGTCTAGATCAGAGCCAAGATTTTGGTTTCAAACTACTTTGGGGCTGGAGGAAAAACAGACAACAAAGCCTAATTCCGCCCACATTGGCTGCCAGGTGTTAATCCTCATGCAAGAGCCTGCACAGTCAGTTTTACTTTTCCTGTGTCTTTTCTCTTTATCTCTTGTATATGACACTTCCTACATAGTGATTAAATTAATTATGATTTATAACTATATATAAAGTCATGAGGGGAATGCCAAAGCTTGAGGAATCCTTGAAGTCCTGGAATCTGGACTGGGTCATTCATCATGCTTTCTGGGCTCCATCATTTGTGGAGCTCCTCTTTACAAGGAAGGTTTCCCAGGCTGTTTTTTTCTAGAATGACTTCTTTTCTTAATAGGCGATATAAACCAGACAGAGTAAGTTCTCCCCAACTCCAAGGAATAATTTGCAACTTTAAAGACCTCTTGTTTGGAATTCTTCCAGTTTAGTTGACGTCTGTCTCATGCAGCAATGATCCCTTCTGGGCATTTCTGCACACCGAAACACCAAGTGCCTTGTCTCTAGTCACCATGCTGTAAGAGCTACTTGTTGCCTACTGCACGGTAGATATTGTGTTGGAGACCTTATATGATCTTCATAATAACCCTATGAAGTGGATATAATTATATCCATTTTCTAGATTAGAAAACAGGATTTTAAGTAATTTATAGAAGTTTACACAGCTGGAAAAGGGCAAATTGTTTTCTACCCTGGCTGACTTGACTCCATTGCTCAAGGTAAATCCTTATCTTTATCATCTGCAAGCCTATTTCTTCTTATATCATGTGCTGCCTTCTGACTATAAGAATGATTGTAATAACCTAAAGTTGCTAGATTAATGGAGCAACATCTTGTTCAATTCTCCTTGTGGCTAGCAATACATATTTGAGAGAAATAGCTTATCTATCTCAGTAACTGATACAGAAAACAGTGAATCTAATTAGGTGTTGTGAAGCCAGACACTTGAAGCCTTGGCTTGAGGGACATCAAAATTTCAATGGGTGAACTATGAAATCTGATGTGGTATTGAGGCATTCAGTAACTTGCATATCTTAAATTAGTGTTTTGAAAGATGAGTTTAGTTACTATCATTTCATCTCTCTTTGGAATAGCTTGAAAGATTTATACAGCTTCTAAACTGACTTGATTAACACAGAGAATAGTTGGTGTTTGGGAGAACTTAACATCTCCCTAATAGTGCTTCAGGTTTTTAAAATTATTGGATTGGTACAGAATGTTTGGAGTACCATACATAGAGCAAAAATGATTCTAAGCCATTCCACATTTAGAGTACTAGAACTGTTTTTTGTGTCAAATTTGAGTGCAAATTCATGGAGTTACACCCCTGACATAGTATATGACAGTTAGGTTTTAGTAAACCTACAAAATTTTTCCATGAATAAAGACTAAGTCATTAGTTTAATATTAGATTTAAAAGGTTTTGTGCTCACTTTTGTTCTTTATGAGGCAATTTCTTTTCCTCCAACCACTCCCCTTCCTCCATCCTGCCTAGGCTTAAGAATGCTTGTCCAAGAACCAAAAAAGCATGTCTAGAAGGTGGCTTACTGCTGCATGTTAAAAGCTTGTGCACACATTAATTTTAGATACCTTTGGGGGCGCTCTTCTCATGCCTGTCATTCAGAATCTCATTCAAGTTTATTCATAGGTCCCAAGCTAATGTCTTCTGAATTGCTTATTTAGAATACAAGGATGTCCAAGGCCACTTCTTTGAATTCTAGTCTCTTCAACCTTTTAATATATTCTTAATACATGAGAATAGTTAACAGCATGCCAGGTCAACAGGAACTTAAAGGTTAAACTTGCTACATCTCTGCAACATATTAAGGCAGTTCTCTAGAGACCAGTGTTTATTAATGACTACTTTGAACCTGAATTCAATGAGGAATATCTGGGTGTTGCAAGATTATTTCCATAGGTACATTTATTTTCTGGTGGTACCATCCGTCTTAGGCAACCTGTATGGGTGGTTTGGTTGCATCTGTTTAAAACTTAGGGGCTGTTTTGCATCTTTACATCTATGCCTTTGTTGTTACAGAGGTCTTGCTTATTCCTGTAGAGCTAGGGAAGTCAGTCTAAGCATTTCATTTCTTCTCGGAGTTTGAAATTTGGAAGGCAAGAACATGTTGGTTACGTAACTACAAAGTTTCATCTAACTCTTTTGATATTAGATAAAAGAGGTAATTTAAACTTAGTTTACAAGTGTTATAATGTCTCTTGGATTTTGGCTGTCAAAAACCACACTAGCAGAAGTATGAGGTTTAAATAGGTAGACTAAAAAGACTTAAACCTTATGATAATGAATCAAAGCACTATTTTCCAAACTTCACCATTTTGAGTTCTCCTTTTTGATTGTGCTTACATGTGCCTATTATCTGAATATATTTATTTTTTATTTTAATTGAATTGATTCAGTAAATGTAAATACCTAATTTAACCTCTACGTAAGCAATTGTACAATGAAATCACAACTTTGTGGTTCCAGTTATTTATATATCTAATAAATGTTAAATACATAGCTATTGAACTAAAAAACAGTTGTCAATCAACTAAAATCATCCCTCATAATCCCAACCTACCTATCACATCCCAAGACTCACTGGATTAGTGACTACTTTGGGGCCTGAGGATATTTTTACCAGGAAAAGAATGGAGCCTTGCATAGTATGTCACCATTTATTGGACATCCCTGGCTGTAGGATTAAACTAAAGGATGTAAAAGAATACCCATACCTCTGCTTTACCTTTTGGTAACTGCTATCCAGAAGTTTTTAGCAGTGAGCATTATCAGAAGTACTTAATAGGTACATTCAGCAGGAGAAAAGGGCTAATGAAGCAACACCAACTCGGTCTTCTCCTCCTGAGGAATGCAGACGTGTTATCTTCTAAATCAGGGCAACATGTCTTACTTAGTGTAGCTGCATGGGGAACTGGGAGGGTTGTGACATTTCCAAGCCTCTGCTTCTGTGGCTGCTCATTTGTGTTTTATCCTTGCCATGCTGACATCCAAATCGCAGTTTTGCTGTGACGCTTTTGACAGCTGTCCTCAGGGAACAACCAAAGAGGATAGCAGGGAACACACGCCACTTGTGCGAAATGTTTAGGTGTGATGCTTGTACCAGCAAAGGGACAGGGAAGAATGAAACCAAGGGCCAACTCCTCCTTGTGAAGGGATAAAAGAAATCAATCAATAGCTTTCCTTCTGGAAGCATGGGGAAATTTATTGCTTATCGAACAACCGTGACCACTGTGTTAACATTTATGAAACAATTTGGAATGAGAGGCATGGAGGGGGCTGTTGGAAGTGAAACTCCACTAGTTCATTCCCAATTCTGTGCCCTGTTGCAGGTCCTTGAGCAAAATGGGAAATGGTTCAGTGAAACCCAAACATTCCAAGCATCCAGATGGCCATTCTGGGAACCTCACTATCCATGCCCTGCGGAGCAAGGTGACAGAGCTGGAGAGAGAGCTGAGGAGGAAGGATGCTGAGATCCAGGAGCGGGAGTACCATTTGAAGGAGCTGCGAGAGCAGCTGTCCAAGCAGACGGTGGCCATCGCTGAGCTCACGGAGGAGCTCCAGAACAAGTGCATCCAGCTGAACAAACTTCAGGATGTGGTGCACATGCAGGGAGGAAGCCCGCTTCAGGCCTCCCCAGATAAAGTGCCTCTTGAAGTCCACCGCAAGACCTCTGGCTTGGTCTCCCTCCACAGCAGGAGGGGTGCAAAGGCTGGGGTATCTGCCGAGCCTACAACCCGAACCTATGACCTCAACAAACCCCCTGAATTTTCCTTTGAGAAAGCAAGAATCAGAAAGGACTCCAGGTAAGAAGTTTCCATACTCTCTTGGCTAGGATAACTTTAATATTGTAAACACAAGAGTAATATTAAGCTTCCTCAATGGAAAAGAACTTATTAACCCTTTCAGATTTGGGGATAGAGTGGCATTAAAATGGTTTTGTTTTGCAAAAGGGTCTCCCTTTAAGCAAAACTTTCCATTAAAGCAGGAATTATGCTTTACCTGGACTTTGTGATCTGTATAAGTGAGGTCTTGAGTTTATGAATGTCACTTTCATTATCTTGAAAACCCTAGGGGAGTAAAGAGGTAGTTTTTTAAGTCTATCCTTCTCTCTTTCTGTAGCAGTGGACTTAAAAGTATACATGTATCACAATGAATTATGAATAGGTATAGCAAAAACGACTTCTTAACATTTAGTCTGCGAGAGTCATGAAAAGGGAATAAGCTGGAGCCTCAAAGAGGAATGAATCCATTCATTTATTCCACAGTTTAAGTTGAGCACTACCCTCTGCTAGCCACTGTGTTAGATGAGAAGTATACACCAGTGAATAAATAGGCACAGAGCCTTTCTCATGGGGAGACAGTGTACAAGGTAACCAGTAAACACTGTATAATCGTTACTTGGGATTGATGGTGTGATGGGCACCAATAGTCTGGTAGTGGTATCTGGGATGGTGGCAGGGTGGGGGAAGAAGAGCAAGCAAGTAGCAGCATTGGGTTTGTCAAGGAGGCCTGGCTGAGGTGACCTTTAACTGAGACCTGAAGGAGGAAACTAGCATATTCTAAGTGGAAAGAGTAGTTCAGGCAGAGGGAAAAATTAAAAGCTAGAATTAATTTTAAAAATAAGGATTGTTAAAAGAATGTAAAAATATTTACCACAGCATTTTTGTGCTTGTGTGTGTGTGTGTGTGTGTGTGTGTGTGTGTGCTTCTCTTGATAAAGTTTGACTTTCCTAGTCAGGAAAGATTAATTGGTAGCATCATGAGTTAGGGTGTGTTTTTAAATTATTTTTAAGTGAGTAAATATTTATTAGTTGAAATTAGATCTTTTGCCTTATATCATGGCAGAGCCTGGGTCTCTCTTGCAAAATGCAAGATTTGTGAAACTAAAACAAATTATAATTTACTTACAGGTACAGTAATATAAATCAAGATAAAACACCTGACTTAAACAAACAAGTGATTAGTTTTGACAACAGAATTATAAAGAGAGGTTTATTTCATCAGTTTGTTGACATTACTTGGCACGTAGCGAATGATCAATAAATATTTGTTAAGGAAATAAATCATGCTAGATTATGATACTCTGTGGCTGATATAAATCTGATTCTTATGAGATTTCAAAAGAGCTTTTTTTAAAGGCAAGAGTTTTATGATTAGTTGATTTAGAAAGGTCTTACCTATTGCCTTTGCAAAAGTAGTAATTACTTAGTTTTAATGGTGTGAATTCAGAAATAAGGTTACAAACTTATGTTTGTTTTTCAAAAATTGAACATCATCTAATGGTTTTTTTTGATATGAGATAGATGCACATAGAGTAATGTCATATATTATGTATTATATCACTATATATATATATATATATAT